GTACTGGTACTTACGGATAATTTATATAAGAAAACGAAAGACTATTAGTCGTGTCTTCTCTTAGATAAATCGATTCACATAAATTTGCCACTTATCTGAAAATTCGAAACCAGCGCTCGACCTTGAGTTTCATAAATGTTGGTGATACTCGAAAATTGTACCAAATCATCCGCCGAGTTAGTGGTAAACCCCAGCACTCTGTATGCTGTTCGCGATGTAAATGGCGGTTTCATTGCTTACAACTCGGCCAAGGTCGACCGCTGGAATGAACGCTTCCAGCACCTCCTCAACTTTTGTGAGCAACCCAGCACACCCTCCCTCTTCTCAACAGCGGAGTTTCAACCTTCTCCAGCCTACGCAGTGTCGTGTGACCTACCTTCCGGAGATGAAGTTGCCGATGCAATGCAAAGGCTGTGAAACAACAAGGCGTGCGGAGAAGACGGTTTTTTCGCAGAAACCTACAAGTCCTGTGTGGACATCCTGGATCCTTGGCTTCATGAAGTGATCGTACAGGCGTGGCGAGAAGAGGCCGTTCCACAGGAAGGGAGATAAGACAAGGTGCGAGAACTACCGCGGCATTATTCTTATCAACGTTGCTGTAAAGATTTTCGCTGTTGTTCTTCTCAGGCGCTTCCAGTCTGTACGTTACTCCAGGACACGACCCAACCAAGACGGATTTCGCGCTGGGCGTGAATGTGCGTCCCAGATGTTCACACTGAGGCGCATTCTAGGATTCCAACATAGCTGGTAGCAACCAACGACCGTCTGCTTTTCGATTTAGCCGCCGCATTCGAGTCCATCCATCGTGAGTCCCTGTGCGTATAATGGAACTAAATGGAGTGCCGAGCAAACTCATCGCCGTGATTGAGGGCCTACTATTGGTCCATCACCACACGAGTTCTGTTCCACAACAATCGTTCCCAACCTTTCCATATCCAGTCTAGTGTTCAACAGGGTTGCATCCCTTTCGCCCATTCTGTTTAACTGCGTCATTGACTGGCTTCTCGGAAAGGCTCTACATGAAGAGGACGGTGTTGAGCTTGCAACCGGACGCCGGCTGACTGATCTCTACGACGCCCATGATATTGCGCTGCTAGCATCAAGATTTGGTGGTATACAGTCCGTAGTGTCGCGGGTTAATGAGCTCGCTATGTCGGCTGGCATGTTCATAAATTCCGGAAAGACGAAATTATTCTCCAGCTGCATCCCTCACCAAGAAGAGGCACCCCTAGGAAATAATGGCCATCAACTTGAAGAAGTAGACAACTTTAAATAACTCGGGACGAGGCTGCTACCGAATGGGCAGAGCAGGGACGACATTGTCTCCGTATCGATGCTGCTCGCCGGGTTTTCTCAACCCCTCGAAAGCGTCTCTGAATCCGACGCGACATATCCTTCGCCACGAAGATTCGTAAATACCGTGCATCCATCTGGTCAGTCCTCCATTATGGATATGAAAGCTGGGCTTTGCGCGCCGAAGATGAGCGAAGACTGAAGGTCTTTGACCATCGTAAATTATACGGACTTCATCTCCAATGAAACAATTCGCACTCGCTGCGATCATATTGTGAGGATATCTCAGACCATTCAAGAAAGGCGACTGAGGTGATTTGGGCACGTTCTCTGTCGTCCACCCCACGAGCTTTGCTATACTGCCCTCGATTCGGCACAGCTGCCCACCTGGAGGCGTCGAAGAGGAGGGCAACTGAAGACTTGGCTCGACACCGTCCATCAGAACATGAAAGCAGTTCTCGGACCTTTGGTCTTCGGTCTCCAACGCTGGGGAAGAGACTGGGTGGAGCTCTTCAGATCCGCTGACGCCAATCGACAAGCGTGGAGGAGAACCGTCCGCAACATCATTGAGGCCGGCTAGATTAGGCATGATAACAGCCGTAACAAGTACAAAAACAAGTACATGAACACATATCCTTCACCTTTTTGCGGCAGGGTTTGTTGTGACATTCGGCCACCGCACAAAAACGGTGCTCTGTTGAAAGTAAACCACTGCTTTAACAATAGGCCACCAAATCCTCTGAATTTGCCGCATGCAGCTTTCTGTCATACGCCGTAGGCTGCGGCAACCTCCTGGACCGCTGGGATCTATTGTCAGGGCTAAAGTAGACAGCTATGTATGTTTGTTACGACTGCTGCAAAAAGTCCCTTATAGGCTGTCATCGACCAGAGCAATCACCTTGCTATTATTGTACTGTACTTACCCAATACTTCTACAAGCTATTACTTCTTACAAGCCCATACAAGCTATATTACAGCATACTATTTACTGGTCTTAGGACAAATGGTCATTAAAATTAGCACTCTGAGTTTAGGCACACTACTTCTGGCAGCAGTAACCTGTCCTGCGTAGTCCAAACTGAGTAGAAACTCTTACAGTCTCGTGGCTATTGTTCAGTTTGCAAAAACAAAGAGAAGGCCTGTTGTGCTCCGGGCTTCAAACACATACTAACTGGGAAGAGCATAATCCGGGGTTCATACTTCTTGTTGAGATCGAGGTGATATGAGCCCAGCGCTGACTTAAATCAGCGTCACTTCTGACCAATAATAAAGCCAGGAATAATAACAGCACTACTGTCGTTCAGCTACACTCCTAGTTAGTAGAAGTCGAAAAAGTAATAGCAGTAGTAGCAGTAGCCTTGGTTTTCTGGAGTGTGTAGTGACACCCACTAAAGGTAAATGAGGGTAAATCGTGCGGTAGTATCAAGATTACTGCCATATTAGACTAAGATAGACAGTGTTTTGTTCTGCATTGGTGAAAGCGGCCTACGCCCGAGCCAGATTGGTCAATTTGGCTTTGTCTTGTCACCGGTCCAAGCGGAATGAGGGTTTAAAGTGTAGTAGATGGCTGCGCGTCAATTTTTACCATATCTGACTACAGTCATCATCCCCATTCTTTGAGTATATGGTGGACGTAATCGAATTCGATGGTCGAAATATCATGACTATTTCATCGAACTTGTTACCTTAATAACAAGGTTGGGGTAAAAGGTCGGTAAAGAGGACATCAAGAAATGTGCCTACGGAACCCCTTCTATAGGAAAAACGACATTTAGGCCTTTACGAAATAAAATCTCGGGAAACAAAAGAACTAAGAGGAACTGGGTTTCTTACTCGCCCGTCTAGAAGTCCACTTTACTAAATATGTACCTTCTGGTTAGCATAAGTAGCAGAGAACTGAAGACTCTTACACAGAGTAGCAGAGGATCTGAAGTGGGAGAAATTATGAAATACATTCAGCTACCTTCTTCTATTCGGTTTTCTCAAAAGAAGTAGATTTTACCCAACTTAGGCTAGAGAGTACGGGGTCTCTACTGTTGAAAAGTTTATTCTTACGGAGAACCCTTTATAAACAAACAAGTTAAAATTACGGAACATGATTCATCTGATTTGGATAAGATTAAATCAAAACTTTCCACGAAAAAGCTACCAGAACATATCAAGCAGTTTATATCATCTTCCAGATGACTTTCCCCATGGGAGATCTTCCTGCGGCACGAAATGCAAAAGTTGTATTTACGTACGTCCGACAAGGTTAATACCCCTTAGGTTGGCGTCCATCTGTTGAAGTCATGAAAAGGCCTATGTACAATAACTTATGGCTGA